CCCCCCCTGCAGCGAGCAGGGACACCACTAACTAGATCGATCAGGGTAAATGATGACGTGGTAAATGATTTTTAGCTGAATGAACCTGCAAGGAACAAATCGAGATGTGTTTCAACTTCTCTTTTTGGCACCAGTGCAGCCTGGTAAAGACTTGGTGTGTAATTTCAAAACTGACTGAAATTAAAATATGAAATCTTAGTTTTAAAACCCACAGGACAAGAGGACCAGAAAAACACAAACAAGTGTTGATAAGCATAAGCACATTTGATGTAGTTTGAAATGTTAAGCCATTTAAAATGTACTAAATTTAGTGAATGTAACTGAATTCTAATTTATATCCAGTTCTAACATCACAAATTTTATGAAACTGTTTCATTCTTAATTCTCTCACATAGTAAAATCAAGAATACGAAGACACATGTTCAGCTTCGTGACTACTTAACTGTGTTTTTCTTAACAAAACAAAACAGCATTTTTAATATAAAACCCACATTTAAAAGATCCTGATGTGAAGATTAGATGTTGCCAACAGAAGGGAATCAACTTCAGGAAAGTTTTAAAAACATTAGGTCAAATGTTTGAAGTTTCCAACCTCTTTGTGTGAAAGACAGTTTTATACTATTGTAATTGAAACACGACCAAAGCCTAGTTAGTAGAGAAGTCCGGGCAATAGCTTTGTTCCCCTCCCTTAACAGATACAGTCCCTCCAGAAACTCGAGTACATGTTGGGCTAAGTTTAAGCTTTGGGTAGACCAAGAGGCGTGCAGTCTGACGATAACGAGAGAAGTGATTATAAATTTCAGCAGCCCTGCTCCAGTGATGCAACACTGAAGGAGATCCAGGTTTGAGTCTACTGAAGTGTGACTTATTCCAACAGTGTGACTAGGGGAGGTACACGCCTCTGCATGGCACGCCTGTCATGGAATTCGCTGGAGCCTCTTGCTTTATTTAGAGAAGCTCCATTCTTGGATGGCACCTGCTGGCCATGCGTTTTACCTAAGTATTGCTGGTTTACACAGTAAGTAAGCGTGGAAATGACTAGACGCAGAAGAGCCTCCCATCCACGTACCGAGAGTACACCCAGCATGTCTACATGGGCAGGGATACAGAGAGTTCTTAGCAGAGCTCGCCTACCCCAGACAAAGTAAAGTGCGAATGCAGCTGGGTCACACGGATTACACTCAACCAGGTCAAGATGCTCTTTTTCTTTCCTTTTCGTCCTCAGCTTGGGAAGTATATGGATGTGTCCTCACATCCATATTTACTCAAAACTAAGACTAACTCATGAAAATATGTTCTTGGTGTCATTTTAGTTATTCAAGAAATAATTTCTTCATAATGCAGCTCACTCGAAAGTTTGGTGCTATAAATCAGTGTGCATTGAATTTACAGCAGAACTACAATAAACCTTCCAAAATTAACTGTAAACCAATTCGTTTACGTACCAATCCTACTAGCTTCCATATAACTTCAAATGTTACGTACCTGTGTAGGTTAGTATCATTAAATTTGTTTCCGTTAACATTACAAATTTGATAAGGAGCAATAGTTTAAAGTCTAATACTAAAAAGTCTCATGCTAACTTACCTGTGACATAGCCTTCTAAAGCTTTTGGCACCAGTGATTTTGCAGTTCTGAGGTCCTCAGCTGAGCATTTGCCTGCCTCAAGCCCAAAGGACATTCCCATTCTCTTCAGCACCTCACTGTCATCATGAATCTCAAAAGTGTTATCGAAATTAAAGAGGTATTCAAATCTGCATGTAAAAAGTCAAAGGGAGATGGTTTTGAAAAGAGCACAGCTATACTTTTTTTTGCCTATTTTCCCTTTTTTTTATTTGGCATGCACTGAGGTAAGTGTCTAGAGTCTTCATTATCTGTAAAGGGTCCTTAAGGAAAAAAAAAAGTGCAGCACGTACTTTTTCTCTTCTGCTCCTGTGACTGGCATGCCTACAGGGTTTAAAATGGCACCTTCTCACCTAAAGTAACTTCACCACTGCAAGAAGAAAGTCTAAAATTTTCCGCCTCATCAAACAGATTCAAAGGGGAAGAAGGAGGCCTTACTGAACATGAACCTTCACTTGTACTAAATCTAATACTTTTAAAGGTCACCTGCAGCCCTGTCACCAAAACAACTGTTTTCTTTCTGCTGCTTCTACATTTCACTTTCTGTTCTTATGTGCAACACTCCTCCTGTGAGCTGACCTATTTACCTTGGTACAACTTTGCTTTTTTGGATGCAGCTAGCAAAGCAGTCTGTTGCGAGTCCTGTATGTTCACAACCTGCCATTTCTGCTGCAGGACTCACAAAATGTTTGTCATTGCATATAAAAGTGGAAATAGCAACATAAACTTAACACAGCTTTAAGAAAAGCAGGGGCATCTAGACTGGCCTTACGCTATGATCACAGGCTGTTAAAAGCCTGGACAGCACTGGTCCAGGGATTACAACATAAGGCTAGTTCCCAATACCTCATTTTCTGCTGACAAATCCTTTATCCCTGGAAAACCAAGCCATCCGTGAGATATGATCTTTGCAAGATGGCTCACCGGTGGGTCTTCCATTAGCTCTCCAGACTTGTGTCACATGTGGATTTTCTTGTTAGTTTTAATACGCATTGTCTTGTACCTGATCCAGGAAGTTTGGAAAAATTCCATCTTTTGTGCCTACACAGGAAATTTTCATCTAGAGATCTCCATGGTTTGTACTAGGTGTAATTGTCAGTTACAGGCATCATTTCTTTCATGACTCATACAGTATTACTTATAAAATCTATTGTTTATGCAGCTATATTTATTTAAGCGTAACGACATTAGAAGGGAAAATAAGATGTGTCGCTATACCTTTAATTGGTAGAAATCAGGTAACTATGTTCTACAAACAGGGGATGGGAGACCAGTGTCATATCAAGTTACCACCAGCAAGCACTGTAGTTAAGTAATTATTGAATTCAGCTTTTACGGTACAGGATTAAAGGCTGTATTTACTGATAGCTCTGCATTTCTCCTCCTAAGTGTTGTGGTCAAACACTGCATGCTAGAAAGGAGCGTAACTCCTTTGGCTATCACTAATCACCTCCTTATTTTCCATGTGCCTTAGCGTAGTTTCCAGGAGCATGTGCTCCATAATCTTGCCGGGCACAGAGGTGTGACTGACCACCTGTAGTTCCCTGGGTCTTCCTTTTTTCCCTTTCTAAAAACAGGCATTATGTTTCCCCTTTTCCAGTCAGCAGG